ATGGAGGTAGGTTTGAAGGTGGTGGCAGTCAGAAAAAGAAAGAAAACCATCATTCCATACATATGATAAACATTCAAGATGTATTGTTACACAAGTTTAAATTTATAAATCAATGTATAAATAATAAAATTAGGCCAACAGACAAGAAGGTCACTAGTTTTGACAACCATCTACTTTGTACAGAACATTGGTATGATATAAGAATTCAAAATAGTATACTTTCCCTCAAAAAATTTATGAGCAGAAATAAAATAAAGAGATAAATGTTTTGAAAATAAATTTTCTACTAGAGATATAAGCAAAGAAAAACTGTTGTTTCTAACTTGAAGTAACAGAAGGTCACTAAAGACTTAGGTGTAAACATGAAATAAACATGAATTGTTCTTTTGCTCAGTCTTCAGCTTTCTCAGAGTTAAATGCATTCCTTTAATAAGGCTGTAGTGTTACAGGACAAATGATACTCTCAATATTACTGATTATTGGATGTGAAATAATGCAGGTGATGAATTATTCAGGATTTTTCTTCCTTCGGCGCTCACCCTTAGAACCAGATGGCAAATGGCAAACAAGGGAAAGGATGGAGTTGAAATTAATTTTGGAACTTGTTAGAAGCATTGGTGAAAGGTTGGTTAGAACTGTATAAAGTCTCCTTATAGTTTCTTTTTCTTTCAAAGAAATCTTGTTTTTTCATCAATGAGATTTATATGGTGACTAGAAAATGTAAATGTACTTTGACTTTCTTGATAAAGGAGTTCTTCAAAGAAAGACTTCATGAAAAAAATCAAAATGTTTCCCATTTCATATCAAATATTAATTTGTATTTGTCCTGTTAAAACTGACAATTTGTGTCATTTGTAGGAAAATGGATGTACCGTGAAACCATAATGTGAAGTGAAATAAATCAAACTAAATTAGACACAGCTTAAATATTGCCTGGTTTCTCTTATATGAGAAACTCAAAGTATAAATAAATTAAAGAGAAAAATAAAAGATAGATAATAGAACTTTTTTTTCAGACTGGGTCTCACTACACAGTTCTTTGGGCTGCCTTGAACTCACCATGTAACCCAGGCTAGCCTCAAATTCACAGCAATCCTCCTGCTTCAGCTTCTTGAGTGCTGAGATTACAGGCATGCACCACCATGCCCAGCAGAGAGACAGAACTTTGGCAAAAGGAAAGGGAACCAAGAAATGGAAAGATGGGGAGGGAGAGAAGAGAGTGGGAAGGGGATAAAAAAAATTAAGAGGTGTTATGTACACCTACCAGCTTTACACAATGAACATAGACACTACATACTATAAACATGTAGTAATAAAAAAATTAAATAAAATTGACCACATGACTGCAAACAAAAAATTGAGTAAAGCATTTTTCAGCTAACAGTAAAGTATATATACAGGTATCTGAATCTCTTTTCATGTCTAAATGACATATTTTCACATAAAAATTGATGGATTCCTAAAACATTAATGAATTATGTGTAACACAAGTCCAAAGTTCCTTTTTAAAATCCACAAAGAATTACTTTAGAATGTTTATTACTACTAAGAAAGGAGGATGAATTAAAATAATAAGATTTCTAGTGAGAATTTCTCAAATTCTAGGTCCTGATAGGAGCTAATCAGTCTCCTACCACCATTATACCTGCTTGGTCAGTACAGGTAAAGAGAGTAATTTTGGATAACAGGCTGTTCTTAGGATCAGTATGGAGTCTTATAAAACCTGAGAGCCACCAGATCAGAGAATAGACCTACTAAAAGAAAGCTAACTCAGAACACAGAATTGAGAAGAAGGATAATTATAAGGTAGTGGGGATTGAATGCAGGACCTCTGTATTGAGCTACCCTATATACCCAGCCCTTTCAAAAATTAATTAATTAATTAATTAATTAATTAATTAATTAATTATTGAGAAAGGGTCTTACTAAGTCAGTTCCCAGGCTGGGCTCAAATTTATGATCCTCCTGCCTCAGGGTGCAGGGATTACAAGGGCATGCCAACATCCCCAGCTAAGTTTTGACTTTTAAACAAATAGTCCATGGAAACAAATTTCCCTACTTAGTTGCAGAGTTGTCCTGTTATTATTTTAAGCCTTTTTTATACTAATGGTGCCTTCCAAGGCTCCAAAAGACAGATGAAAAAATGTTTTATACTCCTCATATTGGAAGAAAAGTACACATAAATATGATATTAATGGTAATAGATATTGAATCATTTATCACATATGGTAGAGGATGTTCTTCACAAAAAGTAACAATACAATAACCATTGTGTATAGGACATTATTATGTACAAGACATTTTATGTCCAATTTTTATGTGCTTTAATTTATTTAGACCTCACAACCCAATGAAGATGGTGTTAATGACCCTGTTGAATCAATGAGGAGTTTGGGATGGAATGCTGTCACATTTTAATCTATATGTTTTACATAAGTCAATTTAAATTTCTGTTGGCTAGGTCCAAGCTAGCCAACATGGGCTCAGCAAAGCTAAACTGGCCTGACCCGGCGCTATTGGTAGGTGACACAGGGAGATCACAGGTGCTGGAAACATTGCACTTCAACTCACTGGGAGGATTCTGGTTGTCCAATGTCAATTCATGGGTTACAGTATGTCAAACTTCTCATTTTAAAAAAAGTTTCATAAAAGAACATATAACAGAAAGTTTACTTTTTATTTACAGAAAGCCACTTTTTATTTACCCAGTTTAGTACTGTGAAGTACATTCGCATGGTTATGCAACTAATCTCCAGGGATCTTTTCATCTTTCAAAACTGAAAGTCACTGCTCATTAAATAACAACTCCCCATTCCCCCTTATCGCTAGGCCTCCAGCAACCACTCGTCTACTCTGTCTCTATAAATTTCAGTATTCCAACTATCTCATACAATCATACACTATGTGTCTCTTTGTGACTCACTTTTTCCATGTTCCACAGTAATTTTGAAATCCTAACTATGCTAATGCAAAAATATTAATAATCATTTTACAAGATTTTTTATTATTGTACCAAAAAAGACTGACAACAGATGACTTTGTGCTCTTAATACAAAATGTAAATTATTTTAATTTATTGGGATTTTTTTCATTTCAGACAATTTATCTAGAGCAAGAAAAGTTTCAAATCAGTACATATCACTTATGACAACCAAAATACCTATTGATAGCAGGTATTGGAGACACATTCTACCATGTTTTATGAAGTATATGTACATTCACTAAAAAATATATCCCAAGAAACTTCTAAATTTAACTAACTAAATTTAACTTCTTTTTAAAAAAGAATACTTTTGTCAAATGGAAACATATTGAGGATATACCCCTAAGTGAAATAAATAAGTCACACATGTGTAAATATTGAATAGTTTCTCTGGTATGAAAAAACCATAATAATACATAAGATCCTAATGAGATAATTGAATATGTGAAATAGGAAGAAAAGGGCTAAAGGTGTAGGGAAAGTGGGAAGTGTAGGGGAAAGGTAATAAGGGAAAAGAAAAAATAGGAGAAAATGAAAAGATGAAAATAAAATGTTTATAAATGGGGAGGGGTGAAGGGGGTGAAGGGAAGGAAGGGACAAGGGGTAAAAATGGGAACCAAGACCTGTCACATAAAGGTACAAGATCCCAATAATGAATGTAATTGTACTGTATGCTTAAAATGTACCAATAAACTCAATGAGGGGAAAAAAAGGAATACTTTTGTCAATTATAAGATCTACAAAACTAACTGAAATTAAACATTATATTTGTATTTCCAACCCATTAATGCTTTTCACTTTAAATTTTATTCTTAAAATAAAAATTGAGAGCACCAAAATCAAATAGTCTGATGGTCTTGCAACCCGCCATATTATCTTATTCTTACAAGTTATTTTTTTATTTACAAGTTACCATACATTGGTCAAAAATTTTTTTAAAAGCCAAAAATAAACAAATAAAAAGCCTTGTACAAATAAGTTACAGTTCACAGTTCAAACTTAAGTTTATTTTCAACAAAGCTCAATTTTTCTGCACTACATTGTCCTTTCATGACCTCTGATGGTGAAAGTGCAAACTGACGTTAGAAATACCAATAAAAATACCACAAATTCCATTTACCTTGCTAATGAAAATCTTTCCCTTCTTTTTGTTTTTTTACCTTGAGAATGTAATAAAACCAATTGTTCAATAGCATAGAAATAATGTTGGTAATTTAATGATATTTTAAAGTATAATAGAAGCTCTCTTTTCAGTCAGCGTGTAAATCTCTAAATATGTGTGCACTTCACATAACAGAATGAACATTTTAGTAAAACAGCAACTTGCTACTTACTATAGCCACCAGTTCCCAAATGTAAAATGAATAAAGATAAGCTGAAACAATTGTTTTAATTTATAACATGATCATTCTCCTAAATCTCTATATATATGAGAATTATAAGCATAATTTTATATTAAGACCTGAATTATTTGGATTTATTTCAATTTAGCTAACAATAGTCTGTCTAGGCCTGAATTTTATCCAAAAAGGCACTCCCACATTCAATTACCTGCAAATATGATCCCAGAAAACAGGAATAATAAATGCAGAGAGTAAAAACAGGAAGGAAAGACAAGCAGAAACAAGAATGCATTCTCAAACAGTAACAGCTGGGCCAGGGATTTGGCTCAATGGTTCAACTGACTGCCTTGCAAGCACAAGGGCCTAGGTTTGATCCCTGGTACCAAAAAAAAAATACAAGAATGCATTCTCAAACAGTAACAGCTGGGCCAGGGATTTGGCTCAATGGTTCAACTGACTGCCTTGCAAGCACAAGGGCCTAGGTTTGATCCCTGGCCCCACAAAAAAAAAAAAAATGATAACAGCTGTGTCCTGCAAGATGTGGCATTAGCTACCATCCCTTGATGCCCAGCTGGTTCTAAAACTTTATTGATCATCATCATCTCTTTCTTGCACTACTCATTCTGATTTTTCTCACCCTTGACCAAGCACTCAGCTGATCTAAGGTTTCTTACCTGCAGTAGTGACCCAAGCCTTCTTTCTCTAGGTTTGCTTTGCTCTTCGCAGGTTATAGTTGCTGCAATTGTCCATTCAATGTTATTACCTACAACAAAAACACCACTCACTAGGATGTTGGTGGGGCATTTTCAAGACCCTCCATTTAGCCTTTCCTGTCACAACAACTCCAGAGATTTAGGAATAAAAGAGATTTTTTCAATTACAAAGTATACTTGGAAATTTTAGACATCCCAATTATTCATTTAGACACTAGGAAGACAAAAACAGGGGAGCCACAAATCCATTGCAGCCCCTATGAAATATAGTTGGTCTAGAACTCAACTTTTACCCGTTGTCAACATCCTTCACCCTAACTAAAGAACCACAGTAGCTATTAATGTCTCCTGTTATTAGTGTCCACTCACATCCACTGTCCAACAATCCTCAAAATGTGGAACTACTGCTCTTTCCTCAAGGTAGTGTTATTTTGGATATTCATATACCCTCTTGTAATAGATAGGGAGAATGTTGACCAATATTCTTAAAATTAGCAGGGTCATTATTCAAAGACATGAGCCCTTCCTTCTAACCAACAAGATCTCCATCTATGAAATTATACAAATCCATATCCTGGGTCTTTGTCAGTGTCTATATCTATATCCTGGGTACAGGATCTGAATTTTCCATTGCAATAATGATGTTAGTATTCCATTCACCAAATCTTCCTTTGTTCATTTGTTTTGTTTGTTTTATATATACATAAGTGATCATCAACTGTCCATAGATCTCCTGCCTTAAAACATCATAATGTATTAGTGATTGCCACAGGTTCTTGCACATCAAGATAGCCTGGCTGCTATGTAAGAGTTCTTCCCATTTCAGTGGTGATTGCAATTCTTTTGTCTCTAAAAGTTCAGTATGGCTGCACAGATGTTGTCATGGAGGAATTCCATCAGTCCACTGTGATGCTAGTTCCTTTGCAGTGTCTCCTGTTAAAAACTTTCACTTGTGAAGAAGAGACAACAAGTTTTTCAAAGATGCTGATATCTCCCTCATGAATGGCTTTTCTGCCTTCCTAGATTTCTTTGGATTCTCCAAAGAATCAGTCAGATGGTAGTTTCTAAATATCACATAAAAAATCCTCTCCAACGTTCCCATCTTCTATGAGACTACTCATGTCTTTTTAAATTCTAGGCCAAAACAATTTTAGCATCTCTGCCTCATTTTCCTATTGGTCACTATCACATCACAGGCTTCAAAGAAACACCCCAGCTGAAGTTAATTACCAGGTCCATGTGTCCTGGATAGGGGTTAAATTCCAAATCATGCCTGAGTATGTAACCCTATGTCAATAAAATTTTCCCTACCAACACTCATTGTATTCCCCCTACCAATCAACACTCTCAAAATCCACTCCTACATGTGTTCTTCTGGTTCTTTTGCTTTATGTAACTTGGGACTTGCAATTTATATAAACCATTTCCTCCTGAAGAAAGACATATTTCTTTGAGTGTTCTGAAATCTTACCAGAATTACTGGCGAGGAAATAATGAATGGTGGCCCAATATGTCTGAGGGATATAGCAAGCATCATCTTAGGAATTTCCTTCATTGTATAAGATTCTGTAGATCTTTTTAAGAAATCCCAGCAAGTATAGGATGATCTCTACTAGCAAGGAGAGTGTCCCTGCTTGTACCAGTGTGGAGAATTCAGGGAAATTTGAGACTTCAAGATTTTCAGACTTATTCACCCAAATATCCATATGGTGAGCTCATGGTTCCACTGTTTTCTCCTAGGACCCAGACTTAGGAAGCCCAAAGAGACTGTGACTTCAGTCTCTGCAGCTGTGTACCTCTTACAATTTGATTCCTGGCCTGACTTGCACCACAGACTCTCTTGCAGTTATAGAAAATGATATCCTCAAGTGGCAATAGAGAACACTGGTTGATTTTGGATGAGCCATTTTCTTAATTTCAAAGCATTAAGATCAATTTATAAAAATCTAGTCATTTCACAATACTTGTGATTACCATTGCCACCTTGCTATTCAATTATAACAATGATTCCACGTGCATCTGTCCAAAAAACCTCATGTAGGAACATTATTAATTACATACTGCTGCTTATCACGTCCACATTTCACACCAGAGCTGAGGACTTTATTGCTATTCGAATGATGAGCCATCAGTTCTAAAATCTCATGTTATGCTTTATATCTTAAATGTGCCCCAAAACCTTATGTGTTGATGGTGTAGTGCCTAGCCGGTGGGCTGTTGGGAAATGGTGGAAATTTTAGGAGGTGGAGCTTAGTTCAAGAGTATAGGTCATCCAGGTTATGCTCTTGAAGGGCATTTTACTTTCTGGCTGCTATGAGGTAAGCAACTGTGTACCGCCAAGTGCTCCCTATCATGATGTTCTGCCTTACCATGTAATCAAAACCAAGTGATTGTGGACTGAAACCTCTGAAACTGTTAGACACAATAAAGGTTTTTGCCTTTTAAATTGATTGTTTCAGTTGTTTTGCCACAATGATAGAAAAATGATTTCCAAACTAATCAAATAGTCTGCTTTCCAGTATTTAATTCCAATACTATTTCTTTTTCCCTGGGTTTCCCTGAAAACATAACTTGAAGCATAGACATGAATAAAAGTAATCCATTTGGGCCCCAGTTGACAAGTGGTACAAGTGACAAATAAGGACAGGGACATAGAAGGAATAATGCATTAAGTCATTGCTCAGAACAACTGGTTTGGAATCACAGAACATCCTGAGAAGACTAATGAATACTAATCAACACTTTCCATCCAGGACCAAAAAGGTAAATCATTTATTCATTAGTTCAGAGTTGTTCATTCATTGATCAATGACATGGCATTGGTCAAAGTTAGCCCCACAGCTTTTAAGTTCCCTACATTTCCAAGGAGGCAATCATTGAGTGTTTAATGGTTTCCTTGAGGACTAGAGAAGCCCCAGGGAGCAGAAAACAAGAGGTCCATGTGCAACCACAAGGCAGGAACACTGATGACTTATATCTGGGTGGCACCAGTTAAAGTGTGAGCAGAATTCAGTCCAGTGGCAGTGGCTGGAGCAAAAGATAAGCCCAAGAAGACCTGAATGTGATATGCAGGACAGTCCAATAAGTCACAGAGAAGTAGACTATCAAACATGAAAATTTGTAATAACAATACAGCCAGCATTATAAGATGATTATATATGGCCTAGGTATGTGTAAGACTACAGATTGTGACTGGAATAATACTTGTTCCCAACTACAAGATATATTTTATTTTTCTTCATTAGGGTCTCTTAAGACATTGAAAGAGTGCTATTTTAAAATCCAGAACATCCATAGAAAAAAATAAACACAGGGCCGGGGATTTAGCTCAGTGGTACTTCCGCCTGCATCATAAGTGCAAGGTCCGGAGTTCGATCCCTGGTACAAAAAAATAAAAAAGAAAAGAAAAGAAAAGAAAAACACAATTTCAAAATTTTACTTTGATGGCATATGCTAATGTAATAAGCCTAAAAATTCAAAGAGTCCTATTCAGCAAACCACTGATATTTTACATATCCATCAGAAAAAAATTTGAGGAGTCAAACACCTTCAACTTACACATATTTTACATTAGTCAATACATTTAAATCCATTAATTTGAAATATTAGACTTTAATTGCTTACTTTTATGATAAAAAGAAGTTCTAATATTTTCTTCTCATATCAAATGGATCATCTTGCTCTCCATGTCAAATATGTAGAAACAACTTTGGAGACTCAAAAAAGTCTTAGATGAACATTGTCACATAAGTAGAGCCTAATAATTTGCCAATAATTAGATGAGTTTAGATAGCATTTAGATGTGCTTTAAAAATCAGTTTTGTATATATACAAAGATAATGCATATTTATGCTTAACTATAGCTCTAGTCTGCCAGTAATTCATATGTATTACATCAACATATATATGAATAGATATAGAATACATATGACCATCTGAATTAATAATGTGATGAACTGAATTTACAATTACAATCTAAAAGTACAGATTTAAAGAGCTTTCTGAAGTTCTAGAGCCACCCCTCAAAAGCCAGAAAATATGTGAAGGAAAAAGAGTCAAAAACATCCATTGCCTGCATCCCACCCATAGCAACTCGGCTTTTATCTATTTTATCTACAGTGAACCCTTGACTTACAAACTCAATTCGTTCTATAGGGCTAGCTGTAACTCAATTTGGTTGTAAGTCAAGACTATTTTTCCCATAATAATGGAAATATCCATAATGCATTCTGAACCTCCCAAAGCACCCCTTAACTAATTTTTCATAACAAAAAAGGGTTGTATAATGTGCGTAACTTACCAGAAACACCATTAACTTTCCTAGTGTATTCACCAACAGGTATAAAATGTATATAATTTATCAGAAACAACAATTTCATATTGTCTCACAATTCAAGTTGACATCTTTGGCTTGCAAGAAGGGATGATGAAATGGAAGGTGGTATATTTTGGAAGGAGAGTCCCCTCCCATAAGAACTTCAGGAATCTGGATGGCTGGTGTACTTTCCCTCCTTGGAAGAGTCTGTAGTCCATTAGGACCTGCTTCTGGATCAATGGGTATTATCTCAACCTTTTCAGAAGTAATATCTGGTATAAGGTTGACTGTTTCGGTCTTTTAACACTGTTCTGTAGTATGACATGACACTGTCATAAAGCAAGTGAATAAAGAAGTTTTTCTCTGTCTGGGCGGGCCTTTTCTACAAATGTTTGTAGCTCTGTCCATTTTCTCAGGATTCCTTTCTCTTGGAAGAATTTTGCTTCACTGATTGTTGACACTCCCCCTCCTCTTTGGAAAGCTCCTCAGATGCCATTTTCTGTTGCTCAGTCAGAAGTTGCTGAATCCTCTGTAGACAATTCCCCTGAGTGTTGCTCCACAATCTCAACATCACCACTGTAGATTCTGCTATAGTAACAATTTCAATAACCACAGGGTCAATTGAAGGCTCAGACATCAAATTCTCTCTTCTGTATAATTTTAGGCCACACTTTCAGGCAGATCTCAGTGTCCATAGAGACAATGGCTCAGGATTTCCCAATAACCCCACAAAGG